AAAACTTAGAAGAGGTATCTAGGCACCCCTGGGTGTTGGTTTAGAGTATGGTTGTTTTGTTCAATTAAGATGAATTCCTTGATTTTTCGTTTGTTTATGTTGGGTTCTTTGTTTAAAATTACTGTGTTTTTGATAGATATACTACAGTTTTATGAGTTGCAATGGTGAAAAACATATGACGGTTTTTTATTGTGTTCTGTCAATCTGGTTTTCAATTTTCTTCCTGTTTCTCCGATGTAGAATTCTGGGCAGTATATGCTATATTTTAAACATTTACTAAAGCAATTACTTACTCATATATGTAATGCTACACTTAACAATTAATCTAGTGAATGGCATCTGCTATTAAGATTGTGCTCAACATTTAAAATTTGGCATTTGTTTGCACTTCTGTTTCACTAATTAAGTCTTGTATTTCAGCTTCAAAAAGAATGCTTGAGTTGTAGAGAACAGGTAGCTGTATTCAATATGTCTTACTTTGGGAAGTTCTTTCTCACGGGACCAGACTCTCAGAAAGCAGTAGACTGGATTTTCACCAATGAAATGGACAAACCCGAAGGTGAGTGTATTTTCTAAATTATATTATGTATATTGTCATAATATCATATAAATTAAATAATAACTGTTTTTATTCATTCAAGATAATTTTGTGACCTTACAAATATGGTAATATCCAGCAATCCAAATTTTCACAAAGTCTTCAGCTCAAAATTTAAGAGTTTGTTAGTTTTTTAGAAGAATCAATTTTTCACTTTTAATTCCTTGTAAAGTGGAAAGAGTTAGGGAAATCTCTGAATTATGTTGGGAACAGAGTATGGGTATTTCGAAAGAGGGTGAGTATAGCTTATGTTCATAAACCAAACGATTTTTGTAGGTAACTTCACAATCATGAGGTTACATTTAATATATAACATAATTGGTTGAAGTATAATAGAATGTGTGCAACAGAACATAACTGAACAGGAATTTTTGTGATTAAGATGATATTTTCATTGCATATTTAGTTTATTTTATATCTTTGTCTGTTAACTGTAAACTTGGGGATAGGGGGAGTGTTACCCTTGTGCTCTCTTTGAATTTGCCTCTGGAAAAGTCCAGAGGTATATAGTATTCAGATACACAGATACATGGCAGAGAAGTATCAAGTATCTAGGGTTCTAACTAGCTATGGAGTTACTGAGGTCATATTCCATATCAGTTGTTTATGGTGGTGTTTGTTTAAGATATATATATATATAACTGGATGCTGGAGCTTGAAACCCAAGTTTGGCCTCAGGGGAATATTAGCTTTTGTTATGGTGATGTACGTATCCATAAAATAGAGTTTGCAAAATTATTATTATGCAGAGAATAATTTCAAACACAAAGAGCAAAGAAACTACAAATGAATGCAAGTGTACAAATAAAACAGAATCTTTACTTATTTGACACAGTGTAAACTGCAAATCTAACTTATTGACTTGCTCTTATATTTGAAAAAAGACTAAAACTGGCTGTTAAGGAAGACAACAGGATAAATATGTACATATATGTTGAGTTGATTTTACTTTCTTATGGCAACATTAAGTACTTTGTTACACTGACAGTCATGATTAAATATTTATAAGATTTTCTTTGTTATTTAAGACGAAAAATCGTTTTCTTCACTTCTCAGAAATTCATAACAATGGTCTAAAATTAAGTTGCCAAGCATAATATTTTTATCCCTTCACTTTCCATCAAAGTTAGACACCCCTGTTCTATAGCAGACAAAGATGGTAAGCAAGAGAACCAGAATCCTGTAGATATCCTCACTTTTATATCAGACTAAGGTCCTAGTTAAGTATCCTTATCCCATAGTCCTGAGATTTCCTATTTCAGCAATCATTCAAAATTAACATATTGTTGCTTCAGCGAGGTCACGTGACTAGTATCACCTCTTTCTAGAAATATCCTGTTCTTTCATGAATGCCTTAGCATTTACTAGATATGTGTTAGTCTTCTATATATAAGATGGTCACAACCTGATGGGGAAACAAGTAATTGAACTGCAGTCAGAGAGTGTGTAATTGAACTGAGTATTGTTGAAGTCGAGCACGTGAGACGTTCGTTGAGAATTATAGCATATGTTATAGCCCGACTGTTGAAATTAAGTGTATCGCAAAGTTATATTCAGAAAGAATAAACCAGTTTTATTTAAGAAAGGACTTGTGTCGCTAAAGTTTCATCGGAACGAATTGGTGTCAGAAGTGGGATAAAAAAAATGGAAATGAGAAGTGGCAAATCAAACTACAGCTTGGCAGATTTGATGGCAGCAATACAAGAACAGCAAAAGAAACAAGAAGAACGAGAAGAGAAACAAGAAGAGAAATTACAGCAGTTCTTGGAGGAAAAGAAAAGAAACAAGAGGAGAAATTGCAGCAGTTCTTGGAGGAAAAAGAAAATAAACAAAAAGAGAGATTACAGCAGTTGCAAGAAAACCT